CCAAAAATTTTAGCAGAATTTTCTAGCAGTTATTTCTTGGTAATGTTTGAACACAGTAATGTTCAATATGTAATTCCTGAGACAGAGTTTTGAGGAAGACACACCAAGTGCTATGAAATACTTATGTAAAGGGGTTACAATTGCTAGCTTTGGTAATTAGGTAAATGCATATATATATTTAACAGGAGTAAATAATCTTTATTTTCAACTGCACAAGTGTGCAAGTGTTTTTGTCTATAGGAGTTAACAGCAAAGTCTAATACATTTTGATAACATTTGACTCTAAAGTGTAATTTATATTTTATAATTTTTCATCTTTTATTTTTTTTCTCCTCAGCTGAACCTGTCGATGTATTAAAAGCACTAGACTTCCAGAGTTCTCCTGAAGGAATCCGAAAAACACCAGGGTTCTGTACCGTCCGGAAGGGATCCAAACCAGACGTGGCTTACAGAGTGGCAAAAAATGCTCAGATTAGTGCTCCAACCAAACAGCTCTTCCCAGGTTTGTAAAGACAACCTCATCTCTCTTCAATGGGCAGTTATTTCACAAAACTATCTGCAATTCCTAATGAACATTGATACATAACTAAACTGTTATATTTTTTCATTTTATTTTTTCAGAAATAGATATTAAGGGATACCAACAATAATATTTAGAGGGAAGAAAAATCTTGATTCCTATAAAGTAAATTAACTACATTTTTATTTTATAACTCCAAGAATGAACAGATAAACTGAAAAAAGTTATATAAAGAATCCAAATAAAGTTAAAAAATCAATGGATCTCTTTAAAGTGTGAGGGATTGCATCAGAGTCAATGAGTCGATGCAATCAACTGGTTTTCCTTAGATATAAAACTTTGAACCAATTGACTGCATGATCTGGTTGAACTGTAAAGTGCCTTGAGATGACATGTGTTGTGAATTGGTGCTATATGAATAAACTGAATTGAATCGATTTAATGAAGCCCAGTTGATACATTTCGTCACTTAGTTTCCAGTGTCGCCTTTAGAAAGGTTATAGTGACATTGGATTGCTTCTTTTCAAAAGGAAAAACCGACCAGACTGAACAAGAGTGGCCAACTTCTGTATGAATTTTCTATATGAACAGAAAGAAAACTACCATTCCTGAAGCGACCGGACTTCTAAAGTGAATTTGATCAACCAAAGTTATTTTAGTCTTCACCCCAGATGTACTAAAAGCTTTTGACTATAATTAAGCTTGCCAAGTATGGATGGTTAAATAAATACATAAATTAAATGAAATAATTAATTTGAAAAAAATAGCTTTTTTAAAGTCATTTCTACGATTAAAACATCTTTTGTGGCCTAGAACTGCAAACTTTTACTATTTACATTTTCCGTTTTTGTTGCATAAGTGCAACTGCTTTTTGGTATACAGTATAGCTGTCCTCAATTCTTTTTTTTATTGCCACTTTAAGGAATGTTTTATCCAAAGGTAGATACAATGTAGGGTTGTTATCCAGCTCTGCATTAACTTAGATGTTTCACACAATACTCACTTCATGGTTAATTACAGGGGGACATATTATTCTTTTAAATGCTTCCTATTTGTATTCTAATTATTCATTTGAGTTCTAAATAAGGTGGAAATGTTTTTTTTGTGCCTTAAATCCTTACAGTGCGGGGAGCCGTAGCTCCACCAGGGCAAGCCATGTTCGCAGGTCAAGCTGTGTTTGTAGTTTTCTATCTGAGAAATAACATTTTGTTGCGAACAAGCTTATGTCAGCTTACCTCATTTAAAGTACTAGTAGTCCTATTGAAGGAACGGATTCATCAATAAGCCAAAACCTTTAAGCAAATCGCTCTTGGTACTGGCTGAGATTGAAGAAGCACTTGTCCTTGAAGTGTTTACCAAAAATGAACATATTTGGGGTGTATTCCCTCGAAAAAATAAAATTTAACCAAACATAATGAAGAGGCCCCAATGGTAGGCAGTGTAATGGCTTGTGTTGGTTTATGCACCTAACAACACAACATTTAGGCTTCTTTCCCCAAACATTCTGTAAAAATATCTCTGTTGCACCTGAAGGCATTAATTTGCAATTTTCTACACTCCTAGAGGCTCCAACTACACATTAGCATGCATGAAAAAGTGGATTTTAAATATGTCAGCTTTAAAGGAACAGTGTAAATGTTAGCCACTGGGGGCGGTAGACCTGTAACATCAAGGTTCAGCATTACTTGAAAGCTACTGGCCCTGGGTTGTCACAAAATTAAACAAATTTAAGCCAGTCTTGCACATTTGCAGCAACAGGACATTTTACCATAAATAATAATTTGTTATTTATTTTTGTCTTTCACATTTTTATACAATGTAAAGCATTTTTAACAGCTGATCTCTGAACAAGAACAGTGTATAACTTCCATTGACAACTTAAAATCTTTGCCAATTAATAAGAGACTGGAATTGATATTTCCTTAATTCAGTAGTAATCTTTTAGTTGTAGATAGTGCTAATATGATATATAGTTTTTTTGTCTATGAGATAGCAACAGTTTACTGGCAGTAGAGCCAGTGCTTTCAGCACTAGCTATAGAAATAGATATGAAAGCTTGAGTACATAAATGGGTGTGGATAAGGTTTGGAGTCTGGATCCTTTTTAGAAATCAAACTTAATAAAAAACATTTAAATGGGAAAGCTTATCTCTGAACTGAATGTGAGAATAAATAAAAGTAAAATTTCAACAGGGTTGATTTAGGACTGGAAGA